CCAATAAACATATGAAAAGATGCTCAATGTCACTAATCATCAGAGAAATGCAAATGAAAACCACAATGAGATGTCACCTCACACCTGTCAGAACGGCTGTCATCAACAAATCAACAAACAACAAGCGCTGGCCAGGATGTGCAGAAAAGGGGAGCCATTCTGCACTGTTGATGGGAACGCAGGCTGGCACAGCCGCTGTGGAAAGCAGCACGGAGATACCTCAAAAGAGCAAAAAATGGAACTGCCTTTGACCCAGCTATCCCACTTCCGGGAATATGTCCGAAGGAACCCAAAGCAGTCATTCGAAAGAACATAAGCACCCCGATGTTCATTGCAGTGCTATTTACAGCCACCAACATACGGAAGCAGCCCGAGTGTCCATCAGTAAATGAGTGGATAAAACAACTATGGGACATTTACATAATGGAATTCTACTCGGCTGTAAAAAAGGAAAAAATTTTACCCTTTGTGACAGTATAGACAGATCTGGAGAACATTATGGCAAGTGAAATAAGCCCGTCGGAGAAAGACAAGAGCCATGTGATTTCACTCGTATGTGGAATGTAATGAACAAGCTGAACAAACGAGCAAAACAGAGACAGACTCATAGATGGGGAGCAGGCTGGCGGCTCTGCGCAGGGTGGGAAGGGGGTTTGGGGGTGGAGGGATTGAGCCAAAAGGAAAAAGGACTCATGCACACGGACAACAGTGTGGTGACTGCAGGGGGTGGGAGGACAGGGGATAAAAGAGGGTAAAATGCTAATGGAAAAAATACAATTATATATATAAATATATATATAATAAATCAATTTTTTTTTAAATCTAAAAACTAAGGAGCTGATAGTTGGATCCCAGCTCCCACCCACCCTGTTCTGGGACCACCCAGGCCTCTGTCCCAGGAGGCCAGCGTCACCTCCGCTCACTCCTGGATGCTCCCTCCCCAGGCTCCACAGGCCTCAGGAAAAGACTGTCACATCGACAGACCAGAACCTCCACGCAGGGTGCAGGGTAGGACTCTACCGACGGTAACGCGGGGCCCAGAGAGAAACAATTACTTGCCCGAGGTCACAGGTTCCTCAGTGGCCAAGCTGCCTGCACCCCTCCTAACAGACACTTTCCTGTGTGAGCACCTGCATCCTGCTGGCAGCCCGAGGACACACTCCCCGGGGACAGGGCCTGCAACCTCGGCCCCAGCGCCAGGCGGGGTCTGCCAGATGCCCCTGCGCGTGTGCTAAGTTTAAGCAGTATCAGCGGCTCTTGGGTCCTGAAGATCCATGGCCCTGCCCACTGGCTGAGTTCTGAGGATCTGACTTCTAGAAACACGGCCTCCTTCCTACTTCACGACAGCCTCCCTGGAGGAAACCACCACTGCGTGGCCGGCCCCCCCAACCTGCTCTCTGCCCTGGCCTGAGGAAGACACTCACACAGCGGCCTCCAGGTCTCTTCCTGAACTGCCCTGCCAGGCGGAGGGCTTGGCAGCAATTGTCCATCCTGTAGCCGCCAACGGGGTGGGGGTGGGCTGGGGGGCTGCCCCGACCCACACTCCCTGCCTTTCCTTGGACCACTGCATCAGGCTAGAAGGCCTCTCCTCCTCCCTGCAACCTCTGGGTCTTCCAGGAAGGCCTGAGCCAGCCTGCCACTCCTGTCTTAGCAGGTTAAGGAGCAAGGCCTATGGCAGTCGTTCTTAACCCTGGCTTCTAGTGGGATGGCTTTTAAAAGGTCCATGGGCCAAAAGTACCTGGGCCCCACTCCAGACCACTTAGGTCAGAATCCCTGGGGGTGCGGTAGGAGTGGGGGTGGTCCGTAATCTCCCTCAGATGCAGAGAGCTGCGATCCACAGAGCGTCGTTAAGCACCAATGACAGCGGTGCCATTTGGTGAGAGAGCTCAAGCCAGAAGCCGAGGGCCTCAGCACGGTTTTTACACTCACACCACCTCCCCAGGGCCAGGCTAATGACCCCTTTTCCTCTTTCAGGGCTGGCCTGGCCGAGCAATAGACCTCAGCGTTGTTGGGACGCTGCGGGCAGGCAGAGCAGAGGAAGGCAGCTGCCCGTGTCCCCGGGGTCAGCCTCAGACTAGGCGGACTCCCATCCAAAATCCTAACCCGGGTTCCCAGGCCCCCCGGGGCCTGTCCCCCCAAGCGCCCAGGCCAGCGGCCTGCACTCCCCTTTCACTCTAGCTGAGGAAGACCACCCACTGGGTAAAGGTGGCTGAGACGCTGGGCCTCAAGGCCTCAGCCCTGTCCAGGGTCCTGACTCCTGGTCTGAGCACTTTGTCCCGCCCTGGGGCACCTCACGCTGGTATGGAGGGCCCCCCTTGATCTGCACCCTTGGGGTGCGCTGGGAAGGGTGGGCCTTGGCAGGTCACTGCAGGGGCAGCCCCTCAGGTCTCAAGGAAACCCAGCGCCAGCCCTTCCCATAGCTGCGGACTTCACAGTGAGCTGGCGGTGCTGCTACGCTAAGTACTTCTCATCCTCAGACACCCGGCCCCATCACCGTCCCCATTCAGGGAGGAGGGACGAAGTGAACTGTGAAGCCACCAGGGAGGGAGGGGTCCCGCACCACCCACATCACTTTGCAAACATTCCAGCTGGGAACCTGGGCCAGACTAGGAGCAGGCCCTGTGACCAGCCTGACAGCCACCCCACAGGTAGCCTTCTTACTCTCGGGACAGGGCAGGTGGGGCTCCCGGACCCCCTCTCGCCGGGACCCCCGGGCCCAGCAGGCTAGAAAGGCCCTCCTCTCCACACCGCTCCCGGAAAGAGAAGGCTACAGCCCAGTGAGATTTAGTGCGAATGTTTCCTGCCGCCAAATCCTCGCTTTCATCTCCGCCTTCTCGTGAGCCAAATAATTTGGAAGCTTTCATTGACGGGTTCCCTCTCCGCCCCGAGATAGCTTGGAATTTATGGTGGCGATGGCTCAGCCTCCTCACTTAGGGGACGAGGGAAACCCCGAAGGCTGCTCTCCAGCCTGCTGTGGGAGGGAAGCTTGTCCTTGGCCACCGTTCAAGGCGGGGAGGCCTTCCTCAGCCCTCCTGGAGCCGGGGACCTGAGGGCGGGAGCCTCCTCTCGGGCCTTGCAGCCCCCGGGAGGCTCCTGTGCGCGAACGCAGGGCCGCGTGTGGCCAGTCCCCAGCGGGGCCCGGCACTAACACCCTTACGATGGCTTGACTCTATTTTTAGGTGGAGAAAGGTTCAAAGGCTCTGAGCTGGAAAACCCAAGAGGCAGGGGAATTTTCAGCCCCATGCAAATCATTCTTTCTCCTTGACATGCATTCACACCTGTTTCCTCCCAGCCACCAGCCCGTCCTGGGCGTCCGTGGCAGCTCAGCCCCTGGGATCTCTGCCCCGACAGCCGGCCCCTCCTCCTACCGGTGCTGGAGGGAGGACAGAGCTCCCCGGGACTTCTCCGCCTTTCTCCAGCCTGCACTGCCACAGAAAGCAGTGGGCAGGTTCTTTTTCTCCAGTATGGGAATGACATCCCTGCCTCCCAGGACCAGCAAGGCGCAGAAAGGTAGCTATTGTTTTACTAATGCAACCATAACTATAGGGACACCCCTGCAGGTCACCAGGTGGGGGGCAGAAGGGAGAGGGGGAGAGTGGAGTTGAGGAGGGGTCCCAGGGGCTCCCGGGCCCTCCCACTCTGGCCCCTACTTCCAGTGCACCTGGGTGCTCCTCATCCACCTGACCCCGACGGAGCGGGGTTAGTGCAGGAGGACACTGCGCCTCAAGAACAGAACCCTCCCGCCGGCTTTCTTTTCAGTCTTAACTGCATTCCTGAAGGTAGTTCCTTCCATTCCCACACCTCCTCCACGGGTCCAAGGGGGGACAATAGGTTGGGGGATGGGTGTGGGAAGCATCAGGTCTCAAAGACTCCCCACTCCCCACAGAGAGTCCTAGGGTACCCGGCTCCTGGAGGCGGGGAGTCCTTTTTCATATGCAAGGGTCTGTGCAAGACCCCCCAGGGGCTGGCTACTGACCTCTGCACCAGGACCTCTCTACCCAGTGGCGAGGGCGGGGAGAGGAGGGCCCAGGCTCAGAACAGATACCTCCCCACAGCCCAAGCCAAGGGTCTTCCCACCCTGGGCACTGTTCGCCCCCAAAACTTCACGTCTTGGCTACCTAACTTTGGGATCCTCAGTGTCCTTATTATAACAGGACTGAGGACTCTGGGCTACCTTTAAGGATTAAAAAACTGAAGTGTCCAGCCCAGTGCCTGGCTACTCTGTAGGCTGCAAAGCAGTGTCTCTCCTAAAGACCAGATTCAAAACCCACACCTGCTCAGAGACCCCACGCTCCTGTGGCCGCTCCTGTGCCCAGCCGGAGGCACTGCAGACCTAGGCAGAGGCACGAGAACCAAGGACGCAATCCGCCCTCCACCCCCAAAGCTCTTTGCGGCAGCTCCTGAGGCCAGACACCTCCACCTGCCACAGGGCACAGTGAGGAAGGCATAAAATGCCAACGCGCGTGGGCCGGGCCTCATAGGGAGCGGATAACTGGGTGACGCTGAGGACCCACCCTTCACCCCTCGACCAGCAATCCTGTCACCCTTGCTCAGCCTCCAAAGAGTCCTGACTCCTCCTGCTTCTTATTCCACTGCTACCGCTGGGCTCTAAGCCACCATCATTGAACTTCTGGTCAGCTGCAGAAGAACCCTTCCTGCGTCCACCCGTGTCCCCGGCAAACCCTTCTCCTCCCAGCAGCCAGCGAGACCTTTCGTTAAAACACCAGACTATGTCATTACCCTGCCGATGATCCTGGAAAGGCTTCTTCTCTTGCTCCAATCAATAAAAACATCTTTACAACCTACAAGGCTAAGAGACCAGGCACCACGCCCCCATTCATTCCACTCAGCCACACTGGCCTGGCGCGGCGACGGCTGTGCCCTCTGCCAGGAGTGCTTCCCCCGCTCGTCCACAGAGCTTGCCGCTCTCCCCAGGTCTCTGACCCTGGGGCCTCCCTGCCCCCGCTGCGCCTTCCTCTAGGACACTGCTCACCACCCACCTCTGAGGGCTTCTTCTCGTTCTGCCGGGGCCAGCCCGGCTTGGTGCTGCTCGGCAGTTTGGAGCATCTTGAGGCAGATGTAGTGTGACCTGCAGGGAGAACACAGTCCATTAGGGGCCCCGGGAAGGCCAGGAGCACCACCCACCCACCCTCAAGGACAGGAAGCTTGTCACCTCCGTGAGCCCCTGGCAGCCTGTCCCTGCCCTGAGCCTCTCCAATGATCTATGAGGGCGTGACCTCTCTTCCACTCACCAACCAGAAAGAGCTTGGGAAATAAAAGGCAGTGACCAGGACTCAGTATGAGCTTACTGTGTGACCCATGACAAGCCCCTTGCCCTCTCGGGTCCCCTGCTTCCTCCTGGGCGTGATGTCCGATGGGTAGGCAGGGGCCGGGTGGAGCAGCAGACCCACAGGCCAGGCTTGAGCCCTGGCTCCGCCAGCTACGAGCTCATCACCGCAGGCAAGTAACTTAATTTCTCTGAGCCTCAGTTTGCTCTTCTATAAAATGGGTGGCAAGAGACTGACCAGCTGTCTTCAAAGGGTTGCTGTGAGAATTAGATGACGTCATGCCCACAGGCGCAGCACGCAGTGCAACATCAGCTATTATTATGAGGGCCTAGGGCCCCGCTGCACGACAGGGCTGTGGCCTCCATCCGGTCAAAGGGGCTGCAGCCACCGGTGGGCACACTGGGGGGGGAGGGGGCTACTGAGAAAAGAATGCATCAGCCTGGCCTAAATCCAACGTGGCTACAGAGATCCGCAGCCCAGACACCCACCCCCTGCAGGTGCTCAGCCCTCAGGGGTTCCTCCGCGTGCAGTAAAGCTGAGAGGATGCTGTTCCTCTTGGCTCTGCTGAGCCAGGCCACAGGCGGTGTGGTCACAGCCACAAAGGGCTGGATACTGTGATCTCCTGCCACAGGGAGGAAGGGCTGGCCAGGTTAGATGCCAGAGCCAAGCTCAACCAACAGACCCCGAAGGACAGTGAACAAGACGGCGGGGGAGGGAGGGGGGGGCGCAGAGGGAATGGGACCAAACCTGCCACCCTCGTGCACCTGCCTCAGGCTCTAGTGGGGAGGAGTGCATCTTGGGAGCCCTAAGGGTCTTTCGAGATCTCCTTAATCCCAGGTGCTCACCATGAATGTGAACAAACTAAGGTCTAGAGCGGCTGGGCTCCAGGCCCCGCCTCCCTGACCCTGTAGCCTTTCCTCAGCCTGGGCTTCCACCAGCCTCCACCGCTAGGAGGGATCCTCCTGGCAGCGTGTCTCTCCTACACAGGGCAGCGCGGGACTCCTCACTCCAACTCGCTGCGCCGGCCCAGGCTCCTGAGCTGCCTGCTACTACGAGACAAAAGCTCTCACTTTACACCCCTCCAAAACTTCAGAAGAGGGAGCCCTATTTTCTCCTTGACAACGACCCCCACCCCCAGACATCCCAATGACACCCTCAGTGCATACACTAGTCTACCTCTGAGGCCCTATTACTGAGATCTCGTGAAGGTCCGACTCCTTCATTCATTTCTTCAGCAAACATTCACTGAACACGCGTGATGCGCCAGATCGGGCCTAGGGATGAGGAGTGAGCAAGACACGGCCCGTCTGAACAAGGACCTTACCAGTTGTTAGGTGGTCACCCTTATTGGGTAATAACAACAGAGCCAGATTTTCTGTGGACAGTGTAGGAACCTCCTCAGGGCCCTGACTCGACCGGAGGGCCCCAGGGAGAGCACGTGCTCCTGGCAGCCGGAGCCCCCTGAGGCGGAGTCCTGGGGGGAGCAGATCAGCCCAAACGGGTGGGGCTGAGACCCTCAGGGCAGAGGGGGCGGAGTGCCGAGGGCAGCGAGGGCCCCAGGGCGGTGTGGGCACTTCCTCGGGAGTAGAGGGACCTGGTCCTATTTACGCCTTCATCACCACTGAGACCGTGAGCGCCTCTCCCCATGTGGGCCTGTGGGCCCAGGGACTGTTCATGGGCTTTCCCCGGAGGAGCCCCAAACGGCAGGCCTTACTGTCAGTGGTGTCAGAGTTGTCGCTGCTGATAGAATATTTTCGCCTCTTCTCTTCCATCTGTAATAAAAGGCAGGTCGCGTTATACTCACAGGCGGCTTGGGAAATCCTCAGTCCCCGCCAAAATCACCGGAAACCTACCTCCCCACACTCAGCCTGCTGTAGCAGAAGGATGAGAGCAGGGCCCTGCCCAGCCGGCCCCACCGCCTGCCCACCCACCTGGGGTGGGCTAGGGGAGGGGAGAGGACGCTGCATCTCCCATCTCCTGGGCCCAGTGCCTCAGAGGAGCCAGAGTCTAAGACGACGACGGGATGCCCAGCCCCGCCCAGCCCAGCCCCGGCTTCCCCTCGAGGAAATCCAGGGAATCCACCCCCATCCCAGCGCGGCAGCTGGTGCCTCGCTAGGTGCCCAGGACGGGAGGGCAGAGGAAACAGGATGGATTCTTCCAGGAGGGCCATGCTGTCTGAGTTGAAGGATAAGCCATCCCAGGGAGCACTGAGGACACATCCTGAAAGGGGACGACCAGGAGGGTGGTAATGGGGGTGGGGACAGGGAGGCTCCAAGCTGGGTCCCTGAGGCACACCAGGACCAGGGGTGACTGGTCACGGGCGCCCTCCCTCCCCCAGCACCCTTCTCCAGGAAAAAGTACAAACCAACTTTATCGCGACTGCAGCATTTAACTTCAGAGTAAGAAGGGCGGCTCTCCCACGCTCAGCTCATTCCTCCCGCCACAGGATCCCAGCTACCTCCCGTTTCTAACAACCTGGTGAGTTGTGAGCTATCAGCTTCATTCACCGGGGAGGCTCAATGCCTTGTCTTGCGAGCAACTGGCTGAACTCAGGGCTGAATCCACTTGGCCTGATCCCTAAGCCTCCGCGGAGCTGCTCTCATCTGATCCTGCCTATTGAAAGTGCTTTCCTTCCTGCTATTTCCTCTAATCACACAGAGACGTGGGGGCAGAGGCTGTTCCTGTCCCGCTTGGAGGGGAGCCCACTGAGTGGCTTGTTAACCGGCCCTGGGTCTCACAGCTCGTCAGTGGCGGAGTCCTAATGTGAGAGCAGATCTGGGTCTCGGGCCCAGAGCACTTTCCACCCTGTTCCTGTTTGTCTGGAACCTGGGCTGCCGCACTGCTCACGGCAAACAACAAGGAGCTGGTGTTAGCAGGGAAACGTCCCACTGCCCAGCTCAGCTGCAGGCCTACCAAGCTCCCGGCCCCGCCTATGATCCTATCTGCTACCTGCCAACACCCCAAGTCTGTCCATGCCAGGCCTGGGGTTCCCCTTCTCCTCCTGCAGCCCTGCAGCTCTCTGAGCTGACCAGGGGGGCCCGCCTGCCTCAGACTAGATCCGAGCCAGGAGCTTCTCGCCACCTGTGTCCCCCCAACAGCGAGATCAGGATGACAGGAAGGTTCTCGTGGGCTGCTTACGGCCCAGCTCTGAAGGTACAGGCAAGGGCTCTGCAGAAGGGATGGAGGTACGGAGGGATGCCCGGTGATATGAGCTGCAGGGACAGCGGGGAGGCGGGAACAACAGACTGTGCCCGGGGAGGGGGTCACCATGGCACACAGGGACCTTACTAAGCCCTCAGAACAGACCTTGGTACAGGTGGGCATGACGGCTGCTTCCCTTTCGCATATGAGGAAAACAAAGCAAAGAGGTGAAGAGGCTTGCCCAAGACTGCATGGCTTTTAAGAAACCTATCTGGACCTGGCTGGTGTGGCTCGGCGGATTGCGTGCCGGTCTGCTAACCGAAGGGTCGCCGGTTCAATCCCCAGTCAGGGCACATGCCTGGGTTTCAGGCCAGGTCCCTGGTCGGGGGGTGGGGAGGTATGTGAGAGGCAGCTGGTTGATGTGTCTCTCACACATCGATGTTTCTCTCCCTCTCCTTCTCCCTCCCTTCCCCCTCTCTGAAAATAAGTAAATAAATAAAATCTTTAAAAAGAAATCTACCTGATTTGAGAGGCTGCACGCTCTACCTCCAGCCCTCCCTGACTCGGTGCAGCGGAGCGCGAGCAGGCGGTGATGCTCTACTGCCCACAGCCACTCGCCCTCGCTGTCCTCTGGGGTCTGAGAATGACTTGAAACAAAGCCCTGACTTTAACCTACATCTTGCCAAGAGAACTCCCTACCCTGCTGGTTGGGTAAAAGTCTGGGAGAGGCGCTACCAACGCTCCCACCTGCTTCTCCCTGCAGTGGGCTGTCCAGCAATTGCATTTCTCTTCATTTCTAGCGAAGAGGGCACTTCCAAGGCAGGCTCTCACAGCGCGTAAAAGCCACACCCCTCGCCAGCCCAGGGACCATGGGAAAGACACACCTCCCCGAGGACACACACTGGATCTGGATTTTTACATAAATCTCCTGAACTTAAAATGTTGGCAACTGATTCAGAACTTTAAAAACACTTTGAGAGGGCCAAACTAAACACATCTTTGGGCCAGAATCAGCTGGTGAGAATAAATGACAGCAGCATAAAGCCCTCAGCGCAGTGGTTGGCTCTCCACATAGGTGTCGGTTATTAATACCATGGCAGCCTTGGGCGAGCTAGAGACCTCCTACTCGTGCCCCCCTGGGGGGGCTCCTCCGAGGGAGCAGCGACACTGTACAGTAAGGAAGGTCCTCTGTGACAGGACCCCTGACTGCCATCACCCTTCCCATAATGCTGTTTCTTGCTGCCCGGGACCTGCCAGCGTGCAGACCTGCACCCTCCACATCCCTGGCCAGTTCCCCGTCCACCCTGCCCTCTGCGGAACGGCCCAGAGTCCTCCAGGGCAGGGTGTTATGAAGGGAGCGGATCTGGTGGTGGCCTGATTGATATAATAACTGGGCTTCCGAGGAAAGTCACTGTCGGTGCGTGAAGCTTCTCGCCTTTGAACCAAGTCTGTTCCAACGGCCTCCCTGCCTCGGGTGAGCCTCCAGTCAGCGGCTAATGAAGCCCCACATGAGGCCTGGGCTCCCCTGCGGGACAGCCCTTTGCCCCATGAACCCCCACCCCGTCCATCCTAGCAAGGGGGACAGGGAGGACTCCTTCACCAAAGCTGACGTCCGAGACTGCAAATATAGGCGGGGGGTGGGGATGCTGAGATTTGGTCTTAGCCTCTGCCTGAGTCCTCCCTCTCCACGGGCCCCTCCAACTTCTCCCCAAGCAAGGTCTGCTCTGGGGGAACACCTCAGGGTCACAAGGCGCTTTCCTCCCACCCACAAAGGAGACTCGAGGAATGAAAGGGTCCCTTTCCCTTCCCCTTGCACCTCCCACACTGTCCCCAGCACGGAGACACAGAGAGGAAACCCTCCTTTGGGAGTGTGGGAGTCAGAGGGTTGCCCCAGTGGAGCAGCAGCACCATACCCTCCCTGCGTGTCCTCTACCCTACAGCCAACCATGGGCAAGTCCAGTGGGCTCTCCCTCCAGAACACACCAGGAACCCACCCACCTTTCCCCTCATTCCTGCTGCCACCAAACGGGTCCGAGCCCTCTCCTAGCTTGCCTGGACCCCTCATTTGTCTCCCAGCACCTACTACCCCTCCCTCACAATCCAGGATCCATAGCAGCCAGAACGATCTTTAAAGAGTATAAATCAGATCATGCCATGCCCCTATTTAACACCTTTCGCAGGCTTCCTCTGACCAGGAGACCGTCCCTCCCTGATGTGGCCCTCGCCTACCTTCACAGGTCCACGCGGACCGGCAGCCCATCCCCTCTGCTTTCCAGCTACACCTGCCTCCCTTCGCTTCTGGCACAAGCCTAACGGCCCCTGCCCTGAGTCCGCCTCTGTGCCCTCTGCCTGCGGCGGTCTCCGCAGCCTGTGCATGTCTGTCTTCCCATTTTTCAGGCTTCAGCTCAAATGTCATGGGGTCTATGCAGAGTGACCATTACTCAACATCTTCAGAGCATCCAGCACAACCTGTTTGCTCATCTACTTGTTGAACCTCCTTCTCCGGATGTGAGGTCCAGGAGAGCGAGCCCCCCTGGATGCCGGCCGGAGCCCCAGCGCCCCCCTCGCACGGCACCCAGCACAGAACAGGGGCCCGATACATGCAGAGTGCTGAGCATGTTCTTGTCCCCTCCCTCTAGAAGTGTGGGGACCACACGGCCCAGCTGGCCTGCCTGCAGCTCACAGGAACAAACACCCTGGCCCCAGATTTCGCCCTGTTTTCACAGCCCTCTTCCCCATCTTAACCTCACACATTTTCCAGGACTCTTTATTTGGTTGGGCTCTTGGCTAATGATCAATGTCAACTCAGTAATAGGGCAGCAATTTGGTGGCAGATGTTTTCTTGGCAGCCCTAGTCACTGGTCTTAGTGGGGGCCTCAGGTCTGGACTTGAAACACCAATGCCCAGTGCCAGCCCCCTTTAAAGACCTCTCTGCAAATAAACTCAAATAAACACCCTGGGCCTCCATTAACGCCCTTCCAGCTGACCCTGGGAACAGTGGGCCTTTCAGGCCTGCTACTGCAGCCGCTCCCTGGGCAGTTAAAACGCCCCAACCTGGCCTCCGGCCTCTCCTCTCTGGGGGCCACCAGGCCTGCCCTGACCGCCACCACACACAGCAGGACTTCGTCTTCCTCCTTAAAAAAAGGGGAGTGGGGGAGGCTTTCAGGCAGGCAATTTACCATTCCAGACACAATCTTTCAAAGAGAAACAAAAACTCTCCCTGTCTGAGGCAGACCACTAAGGCGTGTGTGTAATAAGATGCTAATACAATTTAATGATATTTCGGCTGGAAAACCTGTCCTCAGAGCCTCCTTGTGTCGGCAAGGCCAGACATTCAGAAAACAAGACCTGCTACTCTTAAATGGCTTTAAACAGGGGTCAGAGCCCCACTCTTTCCTATCTCTCATTAACTTTAATGCCTTCTCGGGGACAGTAATTGCCGTTACAGAAATGATTTTGTGCACACAGATCCTCAGACTGGCTTCTCCAGGCACCGGGAAGCCTGAGCTCTCCTCCGACGCCCATCGTGGCCCACCTGCGATTCCAAGGGCCCCGGAGTGCACCCAGCTCCCCTAGAACATGCTGCCCGCACCCACCCGCCAGGCCCAGTGCTGGGGACGTACCAAGGGGATCCTGGGAGAATGAAAGGGGCTTTGTCTACTTTGTCCTTCAGCACCTCTCACCCTACCCTCCACCTCAGAGAGGGCAAAGCTCAGTCCGCTCGCTCCCACAGGCGGCTGCCCACTGGCACCTGCAGCGTCCTTCTGATCCCTTCTTCAAGGGAAGGGGGTTGGCTCTTCGGCCAAGCCTAAAGGGGAGAGATCAAAGGTCAAAGCTGCATTTGGACCCTCTCCAGGTCGTTAATAATAATAGTTAGAATGACTAATGCTAATCAAGTGCTTACCACATGCCTGGTTTGGGGTTTAGTCTTCTTTATGGTAAGTACTATTATGACTCCCATTTGTAGATGAAGAAACCGAGGCCCAGAATCATTGTCACACTGGCCACTGCGCGGCCAGCGTTCGAACCCCTGTGGCCTGGCTCCACGTGGTGCACCTCACCCCGCTGGGCGACCGTGCACGGGCCTGCTACTCCTAAGTGCGGCTGCTGCTTGGATTCCTATGGATTGTCTGAGACCGTTCCTGGATTCCTAAGCTTTGAGCCACATGGGAAGGGTTCTACGTGGAGGACTGGGAAAGCCAGGTACTCCCCTCCTCACAGCCCTGACCTGGCCTTCTCTCAGAGAGCCTGCAGGGAGATGCGTGAGGTCCACGCAGAGCCTGCTGGGTGAACTGGGACGAACGTGGACTGGAAGCCTCTGACATGGGTCTTGGGTATCAGACAACCACCACACTGCTAACTGAAACATCGGTTAACCAGAACACCCTGCCCCCAACCTCAAGGATGTGGAAGTCAGCGTCAAAGGCCTAACCTCCGCTCTGGGGTGCACCTGGGGGGTGGGGACCAGCAGTCCCCCCTCACCTGTCATAAAAGCTAAGTGAGATTTCTGACAGCCTCTTCGATCAGTGTTACTGGCTGTTTAGCCAAGCAATTCAGGGAAAGGAACAGCAGGTTGGATGGAAGTGCTCTGGAAACATTTGCTGCATCTCAAGCCCAAACAACTTTATCCTTAAACACTTCATCTCCAAAAGTGCCGGGGAGACCCTTGGCCAAACAGTCTCAAATCCAACATTCCCTGCAAGTCCTGCCGCCTGGGGCGAGGACTTCCCTCTGCGAGGCATTTGCTGTGGAACCAAATGCTTTTCCACTCTAAACAACAGCCAACAGCACTTGGGACAACTAAGAGGGCTCCAGATCAAACAAACATCCCTTTTTTTTCTACCATGCAAACTTTCTCAATAAATTATTCGCCCACTTCGGATCAAAGCCTGTTTTTGCAGCCTGTGACCTAAAAAGCAAATAGCATCTCTTAAACATGAAAGCCCTCCTCCCTGCCTGGGTTGGCTTTATTACTCATTCCTTCCCCTTACAGTTATTCTGTTGTTATTTTCCTCCTCTGCTTGCGGGTCCCAACCTGCCCCAGGAAGATGGGACAGAAGGGATGGTGCCTTCACTTGGGGCCCTGAGGTGAGAGAGGAAGTCAGGGTAGGGGACAAGCCAGCACCCTGAGAACCCAGGAAACGGGGCCAGGCCTGGTTGGCAGCTCCCTGTCAGGTCCTTTTGCCAAATGTCCTACTGGGAATTTTACCAGTGAAGGGAGTTAATGCCACCCCGGGAAGAGGGGCCAGGTGGCCCTACCACGACCAGGGCCCAAGACTCATTTTGCAAACAGAACCTTGAAGGGGACCTCCTGACAGCTTGCCTGGGCTCAAAGCTCAGGGATCCTCCTCTTCCAACAAAGGTAAGAGGGAAAGCCAGGCATGCCTACTCAGCCCTTCCCCACCCCTTTGGCAATGCTGAGTGCAAATATGATGCCTCCTGATGACCCCCATGCAAACCCAGCCTCTGGGTGAAACTTGGCCTCAGATTCCTGCAAATGAGCAGGGGAGGGGTGGGGGGTGTATGCTAAGTGCAGGGAGAAGGTTTGGAAATCTGCAGAGACCAGAGTTTCCGGCTGCAGCGTGCCCTTGGCACTGGGCAGAGGGAAACATGGCTTTCCCTCCCGCCCCCCCAGCCCTGGGCACCAGACTTGCAGCTAAGACGGTAAAAAAAAGAAAAGAAAAAGAAAAAAAAAAAGTCAAGTGCCCCGGCGGGTGGCAGAGGCTACGGGGTTGAAGGGGGGGCGGGGGAAAGGATGGCACGCGCCTCCAGCCTGCCCCTGGAGGCAGTCCGCGGGACCGCAGGATGGAGGCGCGCCGGCGTGATTCCGACCGCGGGAGCCGGGAGGAGGAGCCGGAGGTGGCTGCGGGGGGCTCCGGCCCAGGCCAAGGAAGGGCAAGAGGCGGTTCGGGCCGGGGGCAGCGCCGGGAGATGGACTGGACTCCCGGGGAGGGGGAAGGGGTTTAGGTGAAGCGGGTAAGGGCCCTGCGCCCCATGGGGGGTGGGCAGCTGTGTATGATAGGGAACTGGGTGTGTGTTTTCGGGGGTGTTCTGGGCCTCTGGAAGGTACAGTGAAGCCTTCCTGCCTGCTTCAGACATCTCCATCTTCTGATATTACAGCTACTAATGGCCAGGCTGACCCCCTCTCATCCCTTGGGCTGGAGAAGAGGGTGTGTTAGGGCCTAGGGATGGGCGGGAAGGGACCGGAGGGAGCCACAAGTCTGCACACAGGCGGGAGGAGGCGGGCGGGAGCCGCTCCGCAGGCGCAGGCGAGTGGGTGGGAAGGAGGGAGGGAGAGAGGAAGAGAGGAAGGAGGTGAGGCCGGGAAGATGCCACTGCCGGGGGCGGGGCCGGGCCGGGGATCCGGGAGAGGGACTGCAGCGGTGCTTGGTGGGGGCGGGGGCTGCAGTGTCACTCAGTTGGGGGTCGGGTGTATAAGTCCAGGCTGGGGCCGCCACTTGCCTACGTCTTCCCGGTACCACCCAGGGCGCAGGGGCGGAGGCGGAGGGCCAGGGACTGCAGAACCATCCCCGGAGCGGGACGCGAACCGGCTGAGTTGGGAGAAGGTAAACAAGGGCCACGCCCCCTGCCGTCGCCCCGCGGGCGCGCACCCGCCGCTCCGGCCGCCGCGGGTACATTTCCACTCTCTCAGCGCTTCTCCCCCGCCGGACTCCCGCGCAGCCCTGGAGGGGGGAGCTGCCCCTGACCCAGCCCGCACCCCCCGCGCCGGGGCTGCGCACCCTACATACTTACCTGGAAAGGGCGTCCCCCACCCTTACAAAAAACTGTTTAATGTGTGCAGAGCCTCCGCGCCCGGGAGCTGAGCATGCTGCCCCCGCGTGCAGCGCCCGCGTGCACCCAGCCCGGAGAGGGGGCGACAGGGCGGAGGCGGTGGCCCCCGGAAGGTGTCTGGGACCCGGCCGGCTGCACGTGAGCCCAGTGCGGGTCATGTGCACCGGCTCAGCCCGGTTCGGCGCCCGGACGTGCTGCGTATCAACAAAATGAAACTCGGGGCGACAGGAGGGCAGTTAGCTCCGGTTCCTCCGAACCCTCGTCCCTGGCCGTGCGACCTCCCTGCTCAGCACTGGTCTCTCGCCGCAGCCCCTCTGCCCGGCTGGAGCCGCGGGGCAAGTTGCAGCCCCGGCGCGCCCCCGCCCTCCCGCGCCCCCTTGCCGGCCCGGGGGCGCTTTGCCGCAGTCATTAATAAAGAAGGTCGCCAAACTCACCCTTCCAAAAGTTGTTGTTGCATGCGCCCCTCTCAGCTTCCCCGCAATGTACTCTTTAAAACACGACTGACCAACATGCGCAATCTCTCTCCTGTGCTGTGCATCCCCCCTCCCCCCGCGCGCTGGCTTCCTAGAACAGGCAGCCAGCAGGAGAGAGAGGGAGCGAGCGAGCGAGAGAGAGAGCGAGAGAGAGAGAGAGCGAGCGAGGAGCGCTGGCAGATCTGTTGCAAAAACACAAAATAACGCTGTGGAGATGCGCAGGGCCCATCGCCGGGGGCTGGATCTTACCTTGCTCCGTGGTGCCCTTCCGAGGGGCGCTGCCCTCGGCTACGCGCCGCGGCGGGGGCCGGCGCGGGAAGGATGCTCCCGAAATCCGGAGCTCCTGGGGCCGGCGCGGGCGGGCGGGGGGCGCGCATCCATCCGGGGTCGCGGCGAGGGAGGCGGCGGGGCCCGCAGCGTCCCCGCTCCCGCACCCCTGCCGGGGACGGTTCAGCCCACGGGACCCAAGCCCTTGCCACCTAGGAGTGGGCGCAAAGTAACTCCATGGACGCTACTCACCCTCCCCCCCCAAAATAGCCTCCAACTGCGATGGCCGCGGTCGGCACCATTCACCAACCCCCTGTGTATGTTTCTGTTTCTTTTTAAACCAAGACTTCCTTGTGATCTCTTTAGAAAAAAAAAAAAATGTGTTGGGGTGGGGGTGGGGGCAGGCGGGAGGAGCAAGGGAGGGGGAGTAGCCACTTTTTTCTTATTCAGTCGGATCTCCACTCCTGACACCCCCCGCCTCGGTCGCCCGCCCCCCTTCTCTGCGCCCAGTTGTTTGGCTACAGCAGCGGGTCCAGGTAGCGTTGCAGGCCTCGGGAGGGAGGGTGCCCTGCCGGGCCGCCCGCCCGGCTGCACCTCGAGCCCGGACTTCCCACGGGCTCTGGGGCGCCCCCAGACCGCCCTGTCCCCAGGGCCGGGCCCGAGCGGCGGCTGCGCCCGTGCAAGTCCCATCAGGTCTGCTCACACTTCACACACTCACACACATACCCCGCCCCTCCACTCTCTCACTCACACTTTCTGCTCACACCCCGCCCCCTTCTCGCCTCAGACCCGGGCGGCGCCCCCCGCAACCTTAAAAAAAAAAAAAAAAGCAAGCTTATACTTAAAAAAATCTTTTGGCGCCATATTAATGACGTACTTAAAATTTGCCATTTTTTCCCTGCGTCAAAAAGACGTTTCTTTGCAAATAGCCTGAAGGCGACACTCGCGGAGGGAATGAGGTTTGCACTGAGCACCCGCCTCCCAGGGCTCTAGCCCTGGAAGACCCTCGCCCTAGGCCCTGCTCCTGAATCGCTGGTTTAAAAATGCGAATCAAATAAATCGCGTGGCGTTTTACAGCGCCAGAAGTGAGAAGAAAGTGCTGGCGGGAGCGGAGGGGAGGGGCGCGCGCGAGTCTGGGGGAGGGGGCGCGGCACTCCTCCCCGACCCACAGCAGCTGGAAACTAACATCCCGGGCAGGGGGAACTTGAAATTGTGGGCGACCTCAAGAAAGGAGGGGCGGTCCATAGAGGGGGTCCCTCTCGGGTTCATCGCCCCCTCCTCCCGCCCGGGTGCCTCCTGGCACCCAGCTCTGCCCCGCATTTCCGGGGGGTGGGAACGCAGTGATGGGTGGGTGGGTGGCTGGCTGCACGTCCTGGCCCCAGAGGAGCTTCCCCTTGATTGTCCTTCTCGCTCCCCCTAAAGGGTTAAAAACCGAGGGGCAACTTCCAAAGGCTGGCACTAGGCGAGGAAGCGGGGCGCCCCTCTCCCCACCCTTTGCCTCCTCGCCCCTCCTCCTCCGGCTCCACTTCCCGACTTGACCTTGTGGTGCACAAACAGTGTGCTCGGATCCTTGCAGTTTCTGGAAGAAGAGCTTGCGCTCGCCCAGCAGGCGGACTGTGGGGCGGCTCGCGAGCGGTGGCGGGACCTTGGGTCTGTTCCCAGAGCCGCGGGCCACACCCACTCAACCCGTTGTGCCCGCCGTGCTCACCTTCTCTCGAGGAAGGAGCAGGGCTGGCCTCCTGGATGGGGAGGAGTGAGAGGCAAGCCGCAGCCGTCTCCGGATGCTCCCGGCTGGGGAGGAGGTGGTCTGGTCTCAGGTGGGGTTTGCGGGGGGGAGGGGGACCTGGGAGCCTGGCCCAACATCTCCAAGCATCATTGCCAACTTTTTCTTCCCCCTACCTTTTGGCTGCCCCTCCAAGATGATCCAGGATTTTTTTTTCCTGCTCACGTTTGGCTTTGAATGCACATTGATTGAGTTATGAACTGGGCCAGGAACCGCCTTCCCTCTCCAAGACTGAGGGTTGTTTATTCTTTCATTCCCCTCCACCCCATTCCATGGGAAGATAAATATTCCATTTACATAAGGTGACATTTATGTCACAATTAAGAAGATTCCCGATGGGCTGTTGTGAACACATTTGCTTATAGGAGAAATAAATCTAATAATAAACAAACTCATAATAACACAAATCTTCTGACAGGGTTGATTGTGTACACGACAAAGAGGGACATGATGGATGCTGAAACAGCACTTTTTGCAACAAGAAAGAAATAGGAGCTCAAAGGAAGTCAGTGCAACATTTCTTTTCCATGGCCTTCACTCCCAAAGTCTGGGAAGGCTTGTCTGGCAAGATTGTACCGCCTCCCAGTTAGACCTGGCTCTTGCTCTCAGTGGTCAGTTGGTAGGATTTGCTCAACCCCAAGCTTGGTGCCTGGAGACAGGCGGCAGGCTTTGAGCATGTAACAAAATGGTTAAATGCCTGGGTTCTAATCGTGACCCTTCAGTTCAGAAGCTACTTGATGTGGACAAGGGAATTCCTCTCCCTCTCTCTTTTTCCTCTTCTGTGGAATGGAGTGGTGTCTGGGTTCCTAAGGCCGTGTGTGCACATATACACTTATGTATATGTGTATACGCACATGCTATATGTATAAAGCAAGGCCTGGCTCAGGGTGCACAGAGCACATTAGCACTTTCCCTGGTGCCCACATTTTGGAGGCATGAATGTGCCCTTGGCAAGCTCTTACCCCTGAAAAACTCAGGGTCAGTGGTTTGTCTTACCCTCTCTGAGAACAAACACATCTCCCAGTGTGGGCAAAAGGGAGAGGCAGGAGAAAAAACTGTGCTAGATGGTGGGCTTCATGGTCTAGGCCCAGTTGTCAGCCTCAGCCGCGCATCTGAGGTAGGAATGGAGGCACCAGTTTGCAGGGGCGCAGTCCAAGGAGACTACCCTGGTTAGGTCTGGTTGCAGAGGGTTTGCATGCAAGGAGAGGATGGGACAGGCTCCCTTTAGCCACCAGGGTCTCATGAACCTTGGCAAGCAGTGAAAATAGGACCTCGAAAGACGGAAGCAGGGTGGACGCCTGTCGACAGAGCACCTGCTCTGGGCTGGGCATTGTGCGAGCCATCCCATTTCACCCTCACAAAAACCCATCTCACCCGTTCAAGAGAGGCTTAGCAACCTACCAACAGCCACACAGCTACCAAGTCGGGTAGCAGAATTGTCACCTAGTCCAGCTGACCTTGAAACCTGTGTGTTTTCCATTTTACCACACTGCCAGAAATAAAAAAATATCAGTATTGTTAGTTTGATTGCAGATGGGGGCCTGCTGGCTGTGTGGGTAAGAAAGAATTCGATGGGCAGCGCTTTGCTCCTGAGGTGCTTCCCTGAGTTTGGGTATGACCCGTGTCCCATAAAAAGCCCTTGGAAGATACTTCTTGTTTAGGACTGGAAGCTCCATCAAAATCCTTGGCTTTCTACAGCTCTCTGCTACTGTTTAAGGTTAACCTTGGAAATGTTAGCAGAATGATAGCCATAAAGCTAATTATAACTCTTTAATGTTTATTAAAAGTCTCACAAATCATTAACTTTTTACAGAAAAAAAAATGAGAAGAAACATAGAGTTCTTAGAGATATAATCACTCTTTTTTTCCCCCAACAAATATTTATTGAGGGCTTCCTGTGTGCCAGGTATAATTTGTGTGCTGGGGACACAGCCCAAAGATGACAGACAAAAATGCCTACTCTCATGGAATCCACTTTCTAGTGGAAGGAGCTACACGATTTTTTAGAAAGTAAAAAAATATATATTATATTTGAAGGTAAGTGCCATGGAGAAATATTAAGTGGGAAGGAGTGATAAGGGAATGTGAGGATGCAATTTAAATGCAGACCTTGGGGAAGAGCTCACTGTGAAGGTGGCTTTTGAGTAAAAGGACGTGAAGGCGTAAGCTACGAGGGCTCCCAGGGGAAGAGCACTCCAAGCCCAGCGTTCCTAACCGGGAGTCCACACATGCCCCCTCCAGGGGTCTGTGGACAGAAGTCGGGGGGTTGTGATCATAGAAGGGAAAACACATGCATCTTTATTTTCACTAATGGGAATTCGGCACCTTCTCCAGCTGTAAGTGCAGGTAGCAAATCACAGTGATATTAGCAGCACCTGTGACATTGTTGCTAGTAGAAATCACAGATATTTTCATATCACATTATAGTTGTCGAAAAAACCTTAAAATACCATTATACTCGTCACTGTTTCAAAATGCTCCTAGCTCTTGTAATTTAATGAGTTAATAAGAAACACATATTGCTATGTTGCACATTTTAAAATATTTTGAGAGTCGTATTTCAATATAATTAGTTTCCTTTATTATTTATGTAAGTCATGTTTATGGGTTTGAAGATTCTATACTCAGAAGGAGTCCACAGACAACAGAGACTGCCAAAGGGGTCCACGGCCCAGGATGAGACGTCGAGAGCCACTGTGTCTACAGAGAGACCAGCAAGTGCAAACGCCCTGAGGCAAGAATATACTTCATGTGTACCAGACAGAGAGGAGTTGTATGCACCATTATTAGAAGTGTGGCTTTTTCTAGGAGTGGTATGGAGAGTTTTGAGCAGAAGAAAGGCATGCTCTGTCGCCAGATTTTACGGTTACACTGGTGCTGGATGGAGGACAGACTAAAGGAGGAAAAGGTGAAACAGGGAGACCAGTTGGGAGTCGCTGAAATCAGCCAGGGAAGATGTGATACTAACGTGAACTACAGCGGTAGCAGTGCAGGTAGTCAAATTCTGTATGTATTTTGAAGATAGAGAGATCTGATAGGATTTTTCGATGAGGTGTGAGAAAACCAGAAGTCAAGGATAAGGATGAGAGTTTTGCCTTGGGCAAAGATGGAGTTGTAATTGAGTGAGATGGGAGAAATTGTGGAAGAAGTAGGTTTTGGGGGAAGAAGGTAAGTGGCTCAGTGTTGGGCATTTAAGCTTGAGGTGCCTTTTAGACGTCTAAGTGTGGCCATCCTGTAGGCAACTAGAAATGGCAGCCTCAGCTCAGGGGCAAGGTCTGGACTGGAGACATCATTTGAGAGCAGTCAGCAGGGGGATGGTACTTAAAGATACACAGCTGGTTGAGGTCACTAAGGAAGTGAGAGTAGAAAGAGAAGCGGTCCAAGGATGGTACCCTTGGGCACTGCAAGGTGAGGAGGACTCAGCT